AAAAGGAAGGGGATTTATAGTTTTCTATTTTTGTAAAACATAGAATGTATATACATACCAATCGACAAGAAAGAATTTTCGATTGACGTATCATCTTTTACCAATGTGAATATTTTTGTTTTGTTTTTGGAATAGTAATAAAGGTCACACGGGTGGGCAGGTAACTTGCGTGAGGAGATAGGTTCAACATTCTATAGGTAAAAAGCATTGGATCTGATGTTAAATAAAGTTGCACAAGATCCAAGCCATGTGCATGCACTCTTGTAAGTTGTAACTTCTAAAGTAATAATTACTTGCTCGTAATTTTTTTTTCCACCCAATTCATTGTTACAATCAATCCAAAATTCGACGATTCTTTGATATTTTAAAAATATGCGAATCATCATCAAAAATGTGATATGAGCATAGAGCAATTGGAAAATAATTAATTAAGTGTTTTCATTGGGTTCATGGGGTTGTATCATCTTTTAAAACATTTTCTTAAGACTTACTCAAACAAAACAAATATAATACAACCCAATGAACTCTAGAGTAAGCACAACATATATTGCATGGGATGACAGCATATTTCATTATCTTTACGAAGAAATTCACAAAACTACCCTTTATGCACCAAACCTCACGTGGCTTGTTGGAAGAAGTAATATGATATAGGGTTAGCTTGTAATATACTAACCAAAATTCAATGTTAAACTAAGTATATGACTATGTAAATATGAAAATTAGGTACGTAGATCGGTAGATGACATATGTGTGTGTAGTGTGGACGATTTTGCCATATGCCATAAGTTAGTGGTGGATTTAGAAATTATTTATATCCGGTAGAAAATTAAAAATTACGTACTAAACCAAAAATAATCCTTTTAAGTGACACTAATCACTAACACAACAATTTTTTTGTGTTTATTTTCAAATATATGGTTCATACTGGTAGAAAGAGTCATATCTTACTTCGGAGATAAATTGATTTTGCTGTCAATAGAAGCATATACTATTCCTCTGTGTATGCAAGCCAACTTTCACAAATAAATTGGTTCCCGATGCTCGCATAGGAATGCATTTTTATTTTCACAAATAAGTTTGGTAGGATTCAAGCTTTGGATTCCTCATTTTTTTTTTTTTAACTTTTGATTCTGTGTTCAAAAATGTTGATGCTGATTAGGTTGATGGATTTTTTGTGTGTAGACGAATCTTCACGGATTTTGGTTGATAAAGAAAAGGAAAAGTAATTTTCTTTTACATTAAGAAAAAAGGTAAAAGTAAATGTAAAATGGCAGTTTGCGAGAAAATGTAACACGA